ACATTTTCAAGTTTTAAACATTTATTTAGCACAATGCATTTTAATTACAGTGATGGAAATTTGAACTGGAGGACGAATCACTCTGAATACAAAAGTTCTCTTTAGTAAGACATTGTCTTCCCATTAGGGGCCTCTGGGTGGCACAGACTATTACAGCACAGCTGCTAAACAAAATGTTGGTAGTTTGAACCCACCCAGATCACCTCAGAAGAAAGTCCTGGTGTCTGCTTCTGAAAAATCAGCCATCGACAACTGTCTGGAGCACAATTCTACTCTGACACCCATGGCATTACTATGAGTCAGAATGGGCTTGACAGCAACTATTTTTTTTGTTGTTGTTGTTCTCCTATGGCACATAGCACACTGCTGTGAAGAATATGGCTTTATGTTTTGTGTGTGTGAAGCTGTCCCACTGGCTGTCTGCAGACTCTGAAATGGTGTTTCTTGGGCAAATGCAGCAGGGCAGTTAGTTTTTCTAGATTATAGATTTTAATAAATGGGAGAGCCATGGATGAACTTAGAGGACATTATGCTGAGTAAAATTAAGTCAATCACAAAAGGGCAAATATTGTATTACTTCACTATTCTAAAAAGTCAAGGAAAGGTTTATACAAGGAAGGAAATTTTCTTTGTTGGTTACTAGGTACAGTGTAGTAAATTACATAGTATGGCTTTTCTAGACATAGTCTTTGTAAACTCCGTGGTGGAATTTGCCATGAGCAACTGAGTAGCTCCTGATTGTTAAAGTTATTCACCTGGGGTATTTCTGTTGAGAGTGGCATGAAGAAATCTTCTGGGAAGCTCTCTCTCCTCAGGTGCATAGATTTCTGATGTTGAGATTGATTAGTTTGACCCCTCTGCCAGACTCAAAAGGTGCCCTCCTAGAGACAGAGAGAATCTCTCACTGCCAGCTGAGAGACACACTGCTGAGAGAAACATACTTGCTGAGAGATAGAGACATGTGCTGCTGAGAGAGAGATGAGAGAGACACATGCTGTTGAGAGAGAGGCACGAGAGACACACACTGCTGAGAGTGATGCAAGAGACAGGTGCTGCTGGGAGAGAGATGCAAGAGACACGTGCTGCTGAGAGAAACAGAGACTGCCAGCTGCTAAGTGAGACAGCCGGCTGTGAGAGACAGTGCATTTCTGAGCTTGTATTATAGCCTATTGGTTCTCTAATAAACCCCATAATCTGTGAGTTCTGTGTGGCCACTGCAGTGAATTATTGAACCCAGCAGAGAGGTGGTAGGTTCAGTAAACAGGAGGAAGAGTTGGTGTCAGGGTTGGTAAAAGGGCTGGAGGGAGGCAGCATATCTGGCCTCACAGGAATAGGCCATGGGCTACTGATGGTGATTCTCTCTTCCTCTTACAGGGTTAGAGATGGTCAGAAGATGTGGCCTCCTTGCCCCTTTTGCATTAGGGAATGGAGGGGAGAGGAGGGAACACTGCTAGATAGGTAGAAACAAGTATTGATTTGGGTGAAGGGAAAGGCAATGTACCAAAAGTGACTGATCAACACAATAACACTAAGAAAAAGGAAGACACAGAAAGGTGCAAAAGATCTCCAGACAAAAAAGATAATCCCTTTTACATATACAATACTGAATTACCAGTGATAACAAACATTAATCTACACATAGATAGGTAGACAGGCTGAATGATCAGATATGTCTAGGCAAAATGAAATATACCCGTGACCATATATAAGGTTGGCAGACAATATTTCTACATACGTATTTGTATGTATTGTAAGAATGTCCACATATATAATAGAGCTAGCAAGGGCCAAAGTTACAATAACTTCTTAGCCATAGTCAACCACCCTGAGAGAGCTAGTAGTTGGACCTGTGGGCTTGGGACCATGGTCACAGGAGACATCAAGCTCAATTGGCATAACATAACTACACAAAAACATTGTTCTACATTCTACTTTGGTAAGTAGTGACTAGGGTCTTAAACGCTTGCAAACAGCCATCTGGATGCAACAATGGGTGTCTCCTTGTCCAGAGCAAAGAAGAATGAATAAAACCAAAGATGTATGGAAATAATTAGTCCAAGGCACTAGTGGACCATGCAAACCTCAGTTTATATGACCATGAGACCAGAAAAACTAGTGAGGGTGTCCAGATACCACTGTCAACCATTCAGAAAGAGATCAGTGCAGGAGATCCTGGATGGAGTGGAAGAACAATGTGAAACAAAACTCAAAATCACAAAAAAGACCAAGTTTACTGGTCTGATAGAATCTGGTGAGACCTCCAAGACTGGCCACTGCTTACCCTTCAGGTCTGGAATTGAACTCACTCCTCTGTGCCTTCCAGCCAAACAATGGACAGGCATATAGGTTGAACATTTACAACACATAGATACATTGCTTAGAACAATCAGTCACGGGAGAACAGAAGGGCAGTATTTGCACAGGGAGATAGCTCAGGGTATGCATAGGAAAGAAGGACACAGGGAAGAGGTAACTGCAGGGAGGAAGTGGGAAGAGAGCTGTTACATTGTGGGAAATTGCACTCAGTGTCATGAAACAAAATGTGTATGAACTGCTGTATGGAGAATGAATTTGCTCTGTAAACTTTCACCCAAATCACAATAAAAAATTAATA